ATTCGGAATCGTAGGGGCTTACTGAATGCGATGTGGCCTATACAATGACTTGCGGTGGCCAGCCGATGTACAAGTCAGTGTTTTATCCTCCCAGACGAATCTGGTACCAATTTACCGTCCCGGAGGGTAGAAGGCTTGGTTGGCCTGGGCGGGAGTCGACCCGGGATTTGAACCCGGGACCGCGCGAGTGGTGAGCGCGCCACTTGTCACTACACCACCTCCTCGCTGCCTAAAAGAACATAGTAGTAGATAATAAGTTAATGTAAGAACTGAACGATAAGTCAGTGATGGGAATCCAGTGGATTACTCCGGCCCGCAACAGGGATAATGGAGACGTTGTTGACACTCACTCGAGGAACTTGATGATAAGTGAGAAGATAGGTGACGGATAATAGATGATTGCAAGTGATGCAGGGTAATAAGATCAAAAAAATATGTATGAATCATTCCGTTAAGTGATGAGAAAGAGATGCATGGTATAAATTACCAACAGTGCAAGTAAGAACTACGATCATGAGTTATCATTTGACGAAGTATATAGTAAACAGGTGAACAGTAATGTCGTAACAAAAAAGAAAAGTAGGAAAATGACGAGCGGAATCAAGTGATGATGGGACCATGGTCAGCGAAGACTACTGATAGCGAAATTGGGCGGGCGAGACTCGAACCCGCACCTCATGCTTTTCAGGCGAGTGCCGTTAGGTCGAGAGGGTTAGAGTGCTCACTAGAGCCCCTTACCCTCTCAGCCTGACGGCTTATATGCCATAGCCTTACAGCGCTCACACCTCAACATGGTAGCCGGCCAGCTGTAATGGTACGCCTGGCCACATCAGATTTTTCGCTACTCCGGAGAAAGCTAAATGGTATCAGACTAGTGTGAAAGCTAAAAATATCGTGTCCCCTCGCAATACACTGTTTAAGCGTTCATGCATTCAGAATGCCACTACAATTTTGAGTGAAAATAGAATGCCCGGCACATACTCAATAAATATGGAACTATGAACCGCAGGTAGAGGTAACAGGTGATGCAATGCGACAAAGTAATAAGCGATAGTGAAATGGCAAGCTAGAGCCAGAGTAGCTGCGCAGGAGATTGTCACAGCTCTGGCACATCATAACTGAGGACTCATCAGCCGGAGAGGGGTGAAAGGGGGCTGCGCATTTCAGTTTAAGTAGTCAAATCTGGTGAATTTCTTTCCAAGGCGTTTTTTGCATTTGGGGCACTCAAAGCTCGCCACAGAAAAAACGTATCCCCACCACTTTCCCAGGATGTCCCGGGACAAGAAAAAAAATGTTTGCGTCTCTACCCAAAAACGGAGGCTCCACCCACTACTACACCGTCTATTTGAATATATTAGTAATTTCTCTACCGCATTTGGTTTTAGGATCAATCCAGATCATCGGGCTTTCAAAAAGTGCAATTTCGTGAGGTCAATGGGAGATATGGCACTCACAAGAGATATGATAGCATGCCAAAGGTGAAAAAAGAGAAAAGAAAAGTGATCTCGAATTTCATTCGAGATCATTTTTACAGACTGTATTTCCAGAAGTAGCTTCCAAGTTAAATCGTGGCGGTTCTCCTGACTGCTTCTGTTTCAGAAAGGCTTTCTCATCATCCGATAGCTCTTCCTTCAAGTTCACCAAGGCGGTCAGTATTTCCAGTTTTCGTGCGTGATATTCCTTCTCCGTTATTTTTTCCATGCGTAGTTCGTTATCCATCTGAAAACGACACTAGAAAACCACAAAAGAAACATTTGAGCAGCATTTGAATTCCTAACTCTCAAGGAGTGTCACCGAAGTTCTCAACAACTAGGAGATCTGGGAAGGAGGAATGTTTTGAACTCATGAGAAGAAAAACTGCATGGGGCAGGATTGGAATGATCGCTCGCAGTTGCTATATGACTCCGGGACGCCAGACCTACCACTACCTATAGATTTCCATATGACCGGGTGAGCGATGTGAGAGAGAGAAATGAAATCATTGCACACAAAACGCAGCCGGGGAGATGCAAAACAGTCTACTTTGCTTCGGATATTCCCAAACCATTTCCAGTATGCCGTCGTGCGCAGAACAGTAGTCCAGCACGTCGCACATCAACAAATAGCAACACAGTTCAAAAGAATGTATTGGACTCTCGCACGTCGGACTACCGCCGCCGTCGCAATAGAGACGGCTGTCGCAAAGACACCGCCAGTACAGACAACTGGACCAAAGTCTCTTTCATTGCAGTCAGTCGGAACGGGCGGTCCTCTTTCCCCACTAGTGTTGCATATTGGCAGAGCTTGTAAGAAAGAATTGGATGGAACTCCATCCCATTCTATGTCTCCTATTCCCCTTAATGTGATGCCTTCGATGAGCCCTCATTTTGAAAAAGAAAACATAACCTCGACAACATACCACAATAAGTTTTTGCCGTAATGCCGCCGGTTGCTTTCTTGCAAATAATGCCACTATTTCAGGTGTTCGAAAGGCTTGACTAATTGCAGCTCGAACAGCCTAAATTATGAAGCGAATGAATAGACTACAATAAAATCAGATATAACGGAAGTCGCGAGAGCTGCGCTCACTGCGCGACTCGGAAGGGACCACATTTTGGTATATCTCCCTGAACGAAAATTCTCGTTAAATACTAACGAGTGGCGCTAATCGATACATAAACTTTGCTTTCTATCGTGATTCTCCAAAATGGAAGATCGACAGCTGTACTTTTTTTCCTCAAACGCCGATCCCCTGAGTCGCAAATACACACGCCTTTCAAAGTAGAGTGTGGACCTAACAATTTTTGCTTCCAATCTCTAAGAGAGACGACCCTAACTCATCCTGCACATTCACGACAACACTCACCATTCGAGTGGCTGTGAGATTATCAATAACCGTGATAGTTCCTCCTGTCATCTTCTCCAACGTTCGACTGAGATCCTGAAGAAAAAGCTACAATGTTCCGCCAGCAGAAAGGGAGAGAGAGGTCTCCATTTTCAGTAATGTGCACTAGGTTTTCAGCACTGGAAATGTAAACAGTAGCGAGGCTTTTCAGGATGAACTGTGTATAACGGAAAGAAAAGTTGTATGAAAATAGTTTAGGGTAAACCGCATTAAAGGAATATGCCAACGAGGCGCCAGATAAAAGAATATTTAAGAAAACATATGTTTCCAAATCACAGTTCAAAACAGGGAGTTACGAGAATTCCGTCCCACAAGCTAAATATACTTAAAACTCTCGAAGGCGCGTAGATGTACAAAGGTGAAAGCTTCAAACACACTAGAAAACCGAGCCGCAGATTCTGACAGGGTATCCTGCGCTGGGTAATATCAAAGGATTCCCGAGCTTCACTGCTCGGAAATTCTTTGATAGTCAGCTTCACTAGGTCTCCCGTGTAATTGGTAGAAATTGAACCCCCTCCAATCACGTTATTTCACCAGCCTATACCAAACCTATAGAGACAGCTGCTCACGTCGCAAGCATACAGCTGACTGCAAGTTCAGCGTTAATAACGACAGCTCCCGTGGGATGTACGGTAGATACTTACCTACTTACGGTAGCTACGTAAGGGTAATTACAATGAGAAGAAAAGTTAGCACTGTTCGGCTTAGGGGGATATTGCGCTTTCGCTATTTTTTTCTGCTTGGTTCCTGTTACTTGCATGTCTCACCTTGACCAGGCTCTGGACTCGCGTAAAATGTAGACGAATCTCTTGCTATTGCAAACCTTTACAGGGAATTTACAGGTGTCCAAAGGAGGTATTAATCGATGGGAGGGAACCAGCAAAATCCCCTCAACAAGCCGAAGTAAGCCGAAAAGTCGCACCTGAAGCTGCTCCATCGTCTCTGATTTTAGTTCCTCATATTCTTTTGCATCCATATTAGGCCTAAAAATCACATTTAAGATGCGGTCGAAAGCAGATCGTTATTTTGATTATTTCGAAAGAGTGTAACGACAGGACTGTAAAGTACCCCTACCACCGCATGATGGCCTGCAAACGCGCTCGCGCTACGGCGAGGAGGCTCTGCCCACATGAGGCAGACACGCCCACTGCAAGTTCCGCACGGGTAATGACGACCTCGCCGTGTACCCTTCCAATCTTCGCTATTTGGTTTCTCGTCTGCGCGCGCTGTTCCTTTGCTTACGCATGGCAGCGTTTGACTAGCCGAGGAACAAGTGGTTGCCAGCACAGCTGCAAGGTTGCACTCATGCCTCCTCTACTCCGTGTTCCGGAGAACTCAAAACTCATAAAAATGCATAATGTGGCTTAAAAGCAAGATACTGGTACCCATGACTCACTGCCCACAAAAACCTTGCTCAAATTATGCACATTCAAGAAAGCAATTTCAAGAAAAAAATGAATACGTCTAATTTTTCGTAAAGCATACCTTTCTTCCTCAAGATCAGATAATTGATTCATTAAGCGATCCAGTTGGTTTTGCAAATTCCCGACAAGTACTGCGTCTGCCATTTCTATAAAGACATTTATGATAGGTTGCACATATTAGACATTCGAAAACCTACAAATAATAGCGCTCTTTTCGGAACGGTCAATAGCACATTATGTCCAAAAATACCATGAACACTTGCA